TAATGTTTGTCCCCTTACTCTCCTTCGCACCACCTGTTCTGCTATTCATTTGCGCAATCTCGATTGGTAGGTGATCATGGCTCTCCACAACTTCCTCTCCTTTGTAGCTCTAAGTAATGTTTTTTTTCCCTGACTCTCCTTCCCATTACCTGTTCTACCATCCATTTGCACAAGCTCGATGTCTCGCTGTGTCCATTTTGCCTTCAAAATGTATATTTTGTGAGTGTCAACTTACAACTCTTCTCGTACTCATTGCCCGGGCTAGGGATTGAACTCACGATTACTATGCCGCCAAATTCACGAACTAAAATTTTAATTCAATATAAAAGAGTACTGAATTCTTATGTAGTATCGTATCAGTCCTCCAATATGGCAGTGAATGCTGGACAATCTCCTCACAGACGAAAACAAGCTTTGAAGCAACAGAAATATGGTTCTACAGAAGGATGCTGAGAATAACATAGATCGGACTTGTGAGCAATGACGAAATTCTGGAGACTATGGCCACAAAAAGGACACTTATATTTAAAATAAAAAAGAGACAGCTGAAAATTCTGGGACACATATGAAGGAAGAAATTTGATACAAAGGTCAAGAAATTGTGGAGAGCCATGATTTCGAACTTCCTGAAGAGACACGCACACAGAAGAAGAAGAAGAAGAAGAAGAAGAAGAAGAAGAAGAAGATTTTTCTGTTTTCAATACCTGTAAGGCTAGTGTGTAAATGGTTAAAATAATAGCGGTGTCAAGGGAAAAACATCTTTTTGACATTACGTTTTTTTTGTGTACTTAGACTGGAACGAGAACAGAGAACGAGATAATGAAACTAGAACAGAAAACAATCTACATCCATAGATTAAACAAAGCATTCAGCTTGAAATTAGCAGTTGATTATTCGGATCGAGATACACCTGATGAAGGACGGAGGGTACAATGGCTGAAACGTTGTGATAACAACAACAAAGATGAGGACAATAGTTCGCATGTAAATAATATGAATAACGATAATTCTTCATCCCAGTAAACCAGGCTGAAAATTATTATATAAGTAGTGGTTGCATTCATACCTTAAGCGCCTCTTGGGACTTAAACTCAGTCTAGACCTCAAGTGGATACGATCCATCATTAGAGATGCAGGAAAAATGGTTGGTTACCTGTACCGTTCTAGTAAGTACCTAACACCACCTCCTATCCTTTACTGGGTGCTCCATACTTTCGGCCTTATGCCACATCTAAGCTACGCTTAGAAAATTACATCCTGCTATCCTCTAGCTTTACAGGAGCCAGATCAGGCCGAAAATGGAGTATTGCTGCCATATATGGACAGGAGTTGCCCAGTCTTCACTTCCGATGCCTCGATAGAGTCTAAAAGCGCCTACACGTCCTTATGGGTGAAAAATTATTTCCCCCACAACAACCACTTTCTCACTGACGAAACGTTTTAAGCCTCTTGCTGTTCTGTCGCGATTTCCATGGAAATTGTTCAGACTAACTACATTCCTTCGTTTCAACAGTTATAACCTTCACGGCCAAGATTCGCCATGTAATGCACAGATTGTAGCGAACCGCCTTTATTCCCTTCGTATTCTGTTGATGAGATGTAAGTTACACTGGAGAAGCTTCTTCCCATGAACCGACTCCCAAGAGGATGTTTCCCGATCACTACAAGCTTAACCTGTTCATATACAGCGTTAATCATTATCTTCCTCACATATCCGCATAAACTGTGCATCTTAATCTGTAACCCACTACCTCGAGTGACTCTCTTGCCTTGTAGAGGGTGAATATCATTGCAGGTTATTTAAAGCCAGAACATATTTTTAGATTATAAGAATTATTTTTGAGATAATAACTATTTAGTGATACAAGTCTTAATGATTAACCCATAACTAGATGAGCTGGATTTATACATTTCCCAAGGGTATTTGCTCATAAGTAAATATAAAAAAAAAACCCATACAGGATTTGTAACACGGCTTTTTGGCGACAATTCTAAGCCATTATCCATTACACCATCCAAATATTCAAGCTTACTGCACCTGGTATTCCTAAGCGGTTACTCATCTAGGTACAGGCCAGGATCAACGTTGCTAAACTTCGGTGATTCGGTGTTTCAACGTAATGTGACCGTAAGCTCAAAAATCAAAATATGACCTACAGTTTACTGTTAATTAGGGCAAGGAATGGCTTGTTAATTTTAATGCATCCAAAACGCAAACGAAATTTCTCTCAATTCAACATCTGAAAAACAAGAAATGATTCACTATATCGTGCTAGACAATCTTTTTCTCCAAAATCTATCTTACATATTTATATGTCTACTCTTCTTGATAAAATCCACAGAAGCAGCAGCAATATTATTGGTCCTGATCTGGCGCCTCGACTTTAGTTACTTTCCCACCGCCATAATGTAGCTTCCCTTTTTCTATATATATTTTCGTGGTAATTGTTCCGATCAACTCTCCGCTATGAAACCTAGACTTTATGATTTTAACCGCATTACTAGATTGGCAGTTAGGTCTCATCAATTTATAGTTGAATTGGCTAAATGTAACTGTAAGTTCTATGCTAACAGTTTCTTTTCTCGCACTTATCGCATATGGAACTCTCTCCCGATTCAATGCTTTCCATCCAACTTTGATTTTCAAAAATTTAAATGCAGTGTCATAATATTTTTTTCTTTTTTCTTATTCTTTCACGCTCAGTAACCCCTATAATGGTCACACCACCTTGCTTGGAGTGAAATGACTAAAAAAAAAAAACAAAAGTAAAAAAAAAAAGAAAAATTCTCTGCTAAAATATATCATTACATTCTTATTCGTAAAACCCCAGTAACTGCTTGACATTCGGTTTTGTGCATTTACGTGCAAGGACCCGTCAGAGATAAACGTCAAAATCATCTACGCTCATCCTGTTTTCTCTCCTCAACTCACGTCTTCACACGTTTGCCAGCGATCAACGAAATGCAGGTAAGGTGTTAAGGTAAGAAAGAAACACGGTAAAACGAACACTGACATATTTCCTTCAGCTCTTTCGAATGTCATTCATATGTCTTACCTGAACAGGTGTCAATTGCCGGAAAAATATTCACACCCGAATAGATAAAATATGAATGCTTTCGCTTCAGTGTTTCGTCGCAATGGTAGACTCTATGAAGCATAATTTAAAATATCTTTATAACTTAGATGGTTCTAATGGCTGAATCATTTGCTAATTCTCTCTCTCTCCTCTCCCATTAAAAAGCAAAACAACCCCAATAAAAAAAAAAAAAAAAAATGAACGTGGAGCGTCAACTGGACGTAGTTGCACATTGCGCCGCTAGGTGTTACCACTATTCTGAACAGTCTGTGGCGTGGTAATGGATTGATTGATGTTTTTCCTGTGTTTAGTTGTTTTCATATCTTTTGCAAACGTCATTAATATTCTGCATTTTGCTACACCCGAAACACCTGTTTCAAATTTCTTCTTTTTTGTTAATGCAATTGCTTAACATCGGTGACGTCTCTCCTTAAATTCCTATTCTCCAATTTCTAGACTTACCACCCTTTCTTCTGCCGTCTACTGTCACCAGCACGTTAGTAAGGTTACCCACTCTTTCCCTCAGCCCCACCTTGCCTTCACTACATCCCGTGGACATTATTGCTACCATAGTTTAGACATTGCTTAAGGGATGAAGGTGTGTTTGTTGCGTGCATTGGCTATAAAATGTATTCGTAATTGCTGTATATAATTATTGCTGGTGGCAGTTAAATAGTTGAATGACGAATTCAGTTTAGGGTCTATTTTTTTCAACTCAACATAATTGTGGTTCTACAGGGTGTGTGTCTAGAGAATGTCAGGAACAGGATATGTGAGGAATGAGGACGTTTTAGGGAAAATGGAAACAAAAAGAACGCTTATGCATAACGTCAGAAAGCGACAGTTGAAATATCTAGGAGACATAATGAGGAAAGAGGGCTTAGAAAATTTGACACGAAGAGGACGTACTGAAGGCAAGAGGGACAGACGAATGCAGCAGAAAACCCACCGAATGAGCATATAAATGATTGGAAGAACAGGAGTTTTGATAAAAGATAAAATTTATTAAGGGTTACAAAGGAGAGGAAATTGTGGAGAGCCATGATAGCCCACGTCCTGAAGCGACAAGGCTCAAAGAAGAAGAAGAAGAAGAAGAAGAAAGATAAAAGAGTCAGTTTAAACTGAGAGCAAGAGTATATATTCTAAACTAGTCATCATGGCCAAATTGCGGCCCGTGAGACACATACGGCTCATTTGTCCTTTCGTAATAGCACGCTTAATTTCATAAGCAAAATAACGTTGCTTAACATTTTATTTTGTTTCCTTCTCACTTGTTCACTCACACACTCTCTCATACAATGCCATACATAAACAATTATTAAGTACAATGTTTCTTGAATTTTGTAAACTTTCAGGAAACTAACGTTGTCAGTATTTTAAACCACTGGTAATTTTCACTATGGAAGATCGTAAGTGTAAACATCTTTTGTTTTTGAAACAGGTTTCCTTGTGGTTCTAAAGAAGTTGTTCATGAGAATTTTTTCTCTAAAGGAGAATTGTTTTCATTTTTAAATGAATGAATTAGAAATAAATACCACTCAACAACATGTGATAGTCACACTGTCATCACTGATAATATTATAGCAAGACTTTTTTTTAATTATTAAAAAAAATATTTTGTAAAAAATAAAACTGTTCTACTATTTCTAAGGTATATGCTTACGCATCTGGTTTTCTGTAGTGAAAATTGCTGAGGTACCTACTACGAAAAATTACTTTGATTCTTTTTGGTAATGCAGCCCGCCTTGTGGTAAGCCATAGATCATGCGGCCCAGGAGCTCAAAAATGTCACCCATTCCTAGTTTAAACTGAAGTCAATTTTATAAAACTTTTAATAATTAGGGCATAAGCACCATGAATACTTTGAGTTGGATCTGCAACATTATTGGTTTATACACGATTCCTTACGGACGGTGGCCCCTTTTAGATGGGGTTTTTTCTCTCAACAGGAGACGGAGAGGGCGTCTTCGATTCACCAGAAGGATTATATATCAATATAAACAGATAGATAGATAACAAATTAAGACAGATATATAGACAGACAGATAGATAGATAGATAGATAGATAGATAGATAGATAGATAGATAGAGTTGGAGAGAGATAGATATGAACAAACTGGGATAGAAAGATATATATATATATATATATATTGCATTAGTTTTGTATGAATAATTCATGTATTTGTAAATTGATTGCACGTTTATTGTAATTTAAATATCTGATCCATGTGCGACTTTTGGTTAATAAGTGCGACATTACTGTAATTATTGAACAATATAGTTCATGCCACTTTGACAGTAAAAAATTTACCAGTAAAAACATTTGTTCATTACCATATTTGGTATAGACGCAGACATTTAAAAAAAATTCAAAATCAAACTCAGCGTTGCTTTGGCGCGTTCAAAAACCAATAACTCATTTTTAATAGCATTTCGGATACAATACACATATATTTTCGATGTCCTCTTATTACTAAGAGAAAAAACCAAGAACAACATCTATTATATACCTGACGATGTCTGTAGGAACAGACGAAAGCTTGTAGTAAAAATAACAACTAATACGGCAGAAATTTATATAAACAAGGATCAACTCATGCATAACGGATTTAGAGGTTTTTTGTGTACTATTTGAATCGTTTGCAAGATGGATGTCTTGCCATTTAAATCATTAACCTTTGCATTAGTTTTGTATGAATAATTCATGTATTTGTAAATTGATTGCACGTTTATTATAATATATATATATATATATATATATATATATATATATAAATAAACTGAGATGAATAGATAAAAAGATAGATATGAACAAACTGAGAAAGATAGATGGATATGAACAAACTGAGATAGATAGATAGGAACAAACTGAGATAGTTAAATATGTACAAACTGTGATAGATATATAGATATGAACAAACTCAGATAGATAATTAGATAGACTTGAACAAACTCAGATGGATATGAAAAAAAATCAGGTAGATAAACTGATATGAATCAAACTCAGATAAACAGATTGATAGATAAACAGAGTGAATGATGGGAATAAAAGATAGATAGATAGATAGATAGATAGATAGGAATAAAAATAGATAGATAGATAGATAGATAGATAGATGAATAGATAGACAAAAATATAGATGAACAAATGGGATAGATAGATAGATGAATAGATAAATAGATAGATAAATAGATAAAAGAGATATGAACAAACTGGGATAAAAAGAACAAACTCAGATATATAAATAAATAAGATAAATAGATAAAAAAAGATAGATATGAACAAACTGAGATAGATAATTAGATAAACTTGAACAAACTCAGATAGATATGAATCAAACTCAGATAGATAGATAGATAGATAGATAGATATGAACATTGATAAATAGATATGAAAAAAAAAAGCTTAAATAGATATGAACAAACTGAGATAGGTAAGTAGATATATATGAACAAACATAGATAGATAGATCCTCAGAGTGTTAAATTGTTAATTTAGTCGGTAAGTAAATAATAGAAAAATCGCCTCCGGCTGCAAATGTCATCAACTATTCTTTACTTCTGGCATTGAAAATTTCCGAACCTTTTACTTGTGCATTCGTATCTGTTCACAGTCTTGGCTGTTGTCCCATTCTTATATTAGTAGCAGTGTTGATATACTATTTTTTTTTTTTGCTTTTTTTAGCTATCTTCATTTTCCAGGCATCATGTTGGCATCCGTCCGAGACGACAACATTTCCAATGCCCTTAGGATCTTTTGCTTTGTATGCGTAGTTGCCGTTTGCGTCCATCGCCGGCGAAGGAGCCGCTTTACTTAAAGGCATTCGCGTACAGATTTTAGCCTTCAAGACTCAAGCAAAAGTGTAGTAGCCCGAACATGGAGGCGCGAGAGTCCTTCAAAGCTCCAGAATGATTTTTCTCTAAGGTTAATGTTTAATGGAAAGTGCGGTCTGGAAGCACAGTTCAGTTTTCAGTCGGTCTCGTTGTGTTCACTTTCGCAAAAGCTATGATCTTCCCCTGTTCCAGCCAGTTTAAAAAGCTGGGTAGAAAGGGCTCTTTAGATTTGGATGTTAATCATTCTTGGAGGTGAGCAACATTGAATTCGAAATTGGTTAGGTGAGGAACTGGTAACTCCACCTGTGGCCTCATACTTCACAGAGGTATTCAAGAGAGCCCGAGAGAAAGAGATAGAGAGTTAGAGAGAGAGGGAGAGAGAGAGAAGGAGAGAGAGGGAGGGATATAGGAGAGAGTGGGGGGAAGAGAGAGGGAGAGGTAGATAGAGACAGTGGCACGGAGAGATAGATGAGATATAGAGGGAGAGAGAGTGATTGTTAGATGGATATAGTGTGAGAGAGAGAGACAGTGGGGGAGTGTGTGAGAGAGGAGATACACAGAGTGAGAGAGAGTAGTAGATAGTAATCGCGCGAGAGAGAGAGAGTGGGAAGAGATAAACAGATATAATGGGAAAGCGAGTAAAGGAGTGAGGATAAATATTGAAGGAGAAAGAGGTAAATGGAGATAATTATAAAGAGTGGTAGGGAGATGGTGTTGGAGAGAGACTTAGCTGGGAAAGCGATGGGGAGAGGGAGGAAGTGAAAGAAAATGAGGAGAGAGGGGGAAGGAGAGAGCAGGAGGAAGAGAGAAAGTTAAGAGTGTGGAAGAAAGAGTTAGATAGAGATAGTGAGTGGATGGGAGAGATAGTGAGAGAATGGTGGAGATAGAGTGGTAGGGAGAGAGATTTGGAGAGAGGGAGTGAGTAAGAGAGAGAATGTTTACAAAGAGGTGAATATAAAATAGACTATAAATAGTGGAAGAATTAGCTCTCGACGATAATTGGACAGCCCTCTATAATTCTTGTGAGTTCATCTTACAAGGACGATACATTGACAAATTAAGCTACTCGAGTTTTGCCATCACGAAAGACATAAATTTCCATTCCTTTAACTATCTCTTTCTGCCAGTGTGACTTTTGCATGATCATCAAACTTCTATGGCCAAAGTGGACAAAGTTCTGAAATTTAAGGTTACCATTCCATAGATCAGGAATGAAGGTTCAAATTTTGTCCGGAGCTAGTTCCTTATAGCGACTTCACGCCATTTGTTTTAATATCTGAAGAGTGAGTCGGCCTAGAACACTGTGACAATAATAACTATTCCAAAATATGTATAGGAACATGCCGCGACCAAAAAGGGTGATAGATGTCGTGATCAAAGGGTTTTTCTTGCGTTCAGTGACACACAGAGATTAACTGAACAAGGCATATGTAACCGAGTAAATACACGTTGCAAAACGGCAGAGGTACAGGTCGCAAAGTCACGTAGTTAAGTAATTGCAAGTCATGGGTATGTGACTTTAACTATGGAACTAATATGAAACGCTCAGTCAGTATTCTAAAGAAGAAAAACGAGAATATGCCCCCCACGCACGCACGCACGCACGCACGCACATATACACGCATACAGACACACAGACACTATTCACAGCGTATGCGTGCCCGCGTGTGTGCGTTCCTGCGCATGCGTTCATGCGCCCGTTTGTGATGTTATCTTCAGTATCCCGATTCCTGAGTTTTGTAGCCAGACTCACCGCGAATCATTCTGTCTAATCCTCAGGGGATTGACTGCTTATACTACTCGATTTTTCTTTTTTTATATGCACTTTTCCTTCGTGCAAGCTTTTCTTTTCATAATGTATGTGTGCGTGCATGTGCGTACGCGTAGAACGTCGTGGTTATTTGTCCTTTTCGTATTTTTTGTCACTTTACAATCACTTCTTTAACTTTTCTCTCTTTTTCTCTTCTTCATATTTTCTTTCAATTGTAGCCATTTTGACTTTCAGGTTTCTATACATATACTATCGTAGTTATCGTATGCTATTGTATCTCTCACTCTTTCTCTCTCTCTCTCTCTCTCTCTATATATATATATATATATATATATATAAGGAGAGAAAGAGGAGTGAGTGAACATAGGAATCAATACGGCATAGTGAATGACAGTTTCAACCTTCAATGCGATCTTCAGAAGATAACCATGCTGTATTGATTCCTATGTCTACACTGTCTATAACTATAAATACTCTGTCTCCGATACTTTGCATTTTTCCCTGTAAATATGTAATGAACATTTTAAACAATATATATATACTAGGAGATAATGAAAACTTCTCAATCTAACAAACTTTTGATCGAGGGGCTTATTCGCTGAATTGAGTATTTTTCAGCATTCTCGTTGTCCATCTATATGGCAGTGAATACTGAACCATCTTCCCACAGAGGCGATAGAAATATGATTCTACGGAAGGAGGCTGAGAATACCACGGACGGGACATGTGAACAACGAGGAAGTTTTAGAGAAACAAAAAGGAAACTAATACTTAACACCAGAAAGAGACAGATGACGCTTCTAGGACACAGAACGCGGAAAGAGGGCTTGGAAAATTAGATATTCACAGGAAAGATTGAATAATAGTAGAGGAGAAAAAAACAACGCATGACATACTTGATGAGATTGAATAAATGGATTAGGAGACATAACAAAAAGATGAAATTTACTAAGAACTACAAAGGACAGGAAATTGTGGAGAGCTATGACCGCCAGTGTCCACTAGGGGACACGACACACGCATACATGCACACACACACACACACACACACACACACACACACACACATATATATATATATATATATATATATATAGACACATGCATATACACATACAAGTATAGTCCAATAGTGTTATAAAAACCTTGGAGAATTCCAGTAAGATATATTTAATCATTTCTAAGATACGACAATTTTGTTATTACACGATTTGGACAATCTTGCTGTTATTATATATATATATATATATATATATATATATATATATATATATATATATATATATATATATATATATCGGAAAACTGTAAGTAAGATGTAAGTGGTGATGTCGTCGCATGAATTGGCTGGGTTCTCCCGCTTGTGTGGCATGGTACAGACTACCTTTGCCAGGCACAGGGACTTCCAGCAGCTATCTTCTTTGACCCAGGTCAGCACAACCTTCTCAATGCCCTTGATGTAAGCCTCCGTGTTAAGTCTGAGGCCCTGTAAGAAGATGAACGGAGGCATAACTTCAAACATCTTTATTAGACTCATCCAATTCTTTCCGAAGAAAAGAATTTTGCACTGTCCTCAGATTGACACCAAAAACACTCTGAAATGTTTGCATTGGAGCTTTCGGCGCGAATGCCAAGCAGTACATCATTTCGTTTACAAATTTCTGGCGGAGGGAATTGCGTCATGGTGTCCTTTTTCTCACCGACGGTGGTGCCCAACTGACCCTACTAAACTGTGCAGTCGACAAAATCAGAAACAAATAACGTGCATGTGCGAAATCAAAAAAAAAAAAAAAGAAAAAATAGAAAATGGCAACAATTTACAGATCACACCCTGTATATATATATATATTGTATTTATATATAAATATAAAAGTATACATGGAAGTCAACACCCCGAGTTGACAATCTGTTTCATGCTAAACGCAGTAATTATGACCTGACGATTGAGGCTATGGATGTTAACTTCAATGTTCACTTTTATATTTACATACGCTCTATCCTTGACATTGAACACTTTAACCCATGCAAATACGTTAAAACTATATTTTATCACATATATTCCACTAGACTGATCAACCCTAGCAGGTCTGGAGTAGGGAGAATCAGAAAGATTATCCTTGAAAAAAATTACCAAGCAAATTAACAGATCACGCTAGCTATTAGGGAGATGTGATTAAATATACTTTAATGTTAAAAATATTCAGTAGTATTATTGTTTAGGTAATAAACATTATAACAGCACAAATAGCTATATTGTTGATAAAGGAATTTTCGACAATATACGCAGTTTTTACGTATATATAGTTATTTAAAAAAACGACATTCTTGTACATGTAGTTATGGATAATATACATTAATTACTATTTTTTTAGATTAATAACTATTTGTTCTCAGTTGTAAAGATTAATAGGTATTTAATTTTGTAATAATGAAATAAAAATTATAGTTTCATCTTTCTGATAGATGTTGTGATCCGTAAACACCGCCTCGGACTTTTGCAATAGATTGGTACCATGGAATGTCATCAACTGGTTTGAACGGATACGCGATAAGAACTGTTCATTTGTACAATTTGATAGAGAGGCCTACTAGAACACATTCTCCAAGGACTTCTTTACTTTAGCCTTAGAGTTTAGTAAAGAATATTCCGACATCTCTATTAATACACTCGATATAATCATCAACTGTAGAAGATTCGTTCTATTTTACAAGGAAGAAAAATAGGCTAAAAACAATTCCAATGATTTCTTCGACAAAAATGTTACTTTTGTGTT